TTTGATATTCCTTTCCTTCGAAACACTGAAATAGGCAAAAAACAGCAATTTGGGCTGGGCCTCCGGTTAATAGGTTAGTCCCAAAAAGAATATAAAAGTGTATAATAAAGCCCATTGAACATCCAAAACAGATAATATAATAGCGTGGAACAATCAAAAATTATAGATACGTTGGAGACATATCAGGTAGCGAGAACACGGATAGATCTGGCAAGAAAACGGCGAACGGAAAAAAGGGGCGAATAAAACGGCAAATTTGTGTGAAGTGGTGGAGAGAAAAATGAGAGGCAAATGGCAAATAATGTAAATTGCGAAGAAATGAGATTTGTGATTAGGAACCTGGTATATGTTGAAGATCCTCCCCGGCAACGACGCCAGAAATTGGTGCGTTGACGAGAAACTATCTTGACTTGATCCTCCTCGGCAATGGCTCCAAAAATTTCTTTTGATGTCACTTGAAGCTACGTCGGTATTTCCTCAACGGCTGCTACTAACTACGGAGCCGAAGGTCTACATCATCCCTTCCTTTTTGGGGAAATACCGACGTAGCTTCAAGCGACAGCACACCACCTCGCGCTTCCTTTGCCCCGCGCTCCGGCAAGCCGCTCCTTCCCCGCCAGCCCCTCCGATGAGTCGCGCCTTCCTTTCATGCCACGCAACACGCACACATGCGCACCCGCCACCGCCAGGGCACCACCTTGCGTGATCTCGCGGGGCAAGCCGCTTCTTCCCCGTCGCGACCGGCCCCCCTTCCCTCTGTACCTCCTCCGGGCTTTTACTTCGCTCTTTACCCCACTTTGGTCACTCTGTGCATTTGAAAATCAAACCAAAAAACCATACCGAAAATAAACCAAACCGAACCGATTTTATGGTTTTATAGTTTCTGATTTCGATATGGTATGAACTTTTCATACCGTTTTGAACTTTGGTTTTTATGGTATATACCGAAAAATTGAACGGTTAACCGAATAAACCGAAATAAAAAATAAATTTATATTTCTTGAGATGAACAACCATACAAGTTGTCATTTTTCTTGTACATGAGTCAAATTCACTACTAAGGAAGTAAAATTTTGTTGTAGCATAGTCATTTTTCTTTTTTTAAAATGCTAAGCACATCCATAACCATCAACAAATGAATCAATGCATGCATATATACTTATATATATATAGTCATACACTATTTGTGTAAAATAGTATGTGTTTTGAGTCATAAATTGGCAAATTATTATTACGTCATTTTCAAATTCGCATCAACTTTGGTTTTTATGGTATATACCGAAACCATACCGAAATAATTTGGTATATACCGAAACCGAACTGTATTTTAATTTCATACCGTATTTACCGAAGTATTAATACCGTACAAACTGAAAAAACGTATAAACCGAACCATGTAAACCGAATTCCTCCTCACTGATGAGGACATGACTACCTTGGATACGACCGAAAATATTGCAAAGATGCATATTTGTGAGGTGATTTTTAATGTAAACTATGCAATAATTTATTTATGTCATCCAAGAGAAAAATACTTCACAGACTTTTATGCTATGTCTAATTGCAGGTGTATGGGACATTTGTACAATCCACATACACCCCACCTCTATCACTCACTCTGTTCCCTTTCTCTTCTAATCCTCACGAGTAATGATAACTCTCATACATATGCTGGTGAGAATAGATGTAACTCAGCGAGGCGGGACTATATTAATATCGGTAATACTGGCTGTATTGGAAATTTGAAATTGGTAAGCGACGCAAGGAGGGAAGAGGCAACACCTGCCGACAGAGGCCTAATCCAGGCCGAGTACAGCGCCTGTCGACAGAGGCCCAACGAACGGAACGAATCGTTGTATACGAATCATTAATCATTAACTAATATAAACGTATGAAAAGAAAAACTAATAAACGTATGGATGAAGAACTATGAAAGACTCCTTTCTTTAATATTAATATTATAGGAAACATGCCCGTGCATTGCAACGAGAGAAGAAAAGATCTACGGTTAAGCAAGCCACCACCGCCGGCTTTGCCCATCGCTTCGGCTAGGCCACACGATACACATGCGCCAGCCCCAGTAGAGCCATTCGCCGTAATCGCCATCCACCCACACAAAGGAAAAATATAGGTAAAAAATGCCAACGAGGATATAAAGCCATTATTGTGCTCTCTTCGATTTTTTTAGCCTGTATATATGTTTTGTCCCAAGTCAAAATATTTTTACTTTGACCAAACTTATAGAAAAAAATTATAAGCATTCGTGATGCCAAATCAATATTGTTAGATTCATTGTGGAATAAAGTTTCATAGTATATATATTTTGTATTATAGATATTGATATTTTTAATATAAATTTAAACAATTTTTGTAAAATTTGACTTGACAAAAAATATAATACGCAGGGTAAAAAAAGACCGGAAGAGTACTTGCTCTAATAAGGAACATTGGTCTTCTTAAGTTTAATTTGAGCAAGCGAACCAATCTGTGATTGGATGATTAGGTGGACAATGTATCCCCAGCCCACTAGAGTTCAAGTTCTAGTAATTGCATTTATCCTGAATTTATTTTAAGAATTCCCGTGACGCCCTTTCAGTGGAAGGAAACGTTCCCGTCGACTACGAGGCGTCTACGGTAACTTTGTAAAATCTCAAGATGATATGCCGGCTCAGTCTTTCGGAGGGGCTCATAAAAGAAAAATTCAGCAAAACAAGATAACATAAAATGCTCACACGGCTCGTTTTCCCCTTCGGTTCGATAGACACACACACAAAAACAAAAAAAACAAAAAAAAAACTCGGAGCAGAGGCGCCTCCTCCCCAGCCCCGGCCCCGGCAGCTGGCCGCCGGCCGCCCCGCGCTATCCATCCCCACCGCCGCTCGTACTGACTTCATAGGTGTAATGCCAGCAGGCGTTTAGTGCATATGAAAAAGTTTAGAGCTAGCCAGATCCAATCTTCAACTCCGTATGGATCCGGCAACGGGGGCAATCGACAGCCTGCTCCCCAAGCTGGAGGAGCTGCGGAAGAGCGCCAGGGAAGAAGTGATTTTCCTGCAAGAGAAGCTGTCGGGCATAAAGCGTGCCTTCAGCGATGCGGATCCGCTCAGCCAGCGAATCAAGGAATGGCTCAGGCAAGCGAGGCCCCTGAGCTACGGCATCGAGCACGTCGTCGACAAGTTCGAGGCTCGCCGGCTCAAGGCTGCCCATCCGCCGGCCGCCGCCCGCCATCAACTCCTCCGCAAGATAAGATCCCAGATGGCGATTGCCAAGGCTTCCGGTCAATTCGCCAAGGACATCCAAAGCTACAGGGACCGTGTCATGGAATTGGACATTGCTCCTTCAAGTCCGAGTCGGAGTTCGACTCCAACGCATGACGATTTCTCCAACACCGCTGTTCCGATTCCAAGTCCGAGGCATGACACTGCCATCGCTGCCAATGACTATGACGGCACAGTCGACGAGCTTGTTGACCCTGATGTACTAGTCAAAAAGATCAATGAACACGGGGAGGGAATCACATCCAACAGGCAGCCCATGATCGCTTCAATTCTGGGAGGTGCAGTCATGGGCAAAACAAAACTTGTGGACCAGGTGTACCAGGAGCTTAACTCGCTATTCGAGTGTACAGCTTGGGTCACTGTGTCTCAGGAGCCTGACATAAAAAACGTGTTGTGGAACATCCTCTGTCAGATAAGCCTACAAGATGATGCCACTTTTGGATCGCTCACTGTAAAAGAAACCATCGATGAGATCAGGAAAGCCCTCAACAATAAGAGGTATTATTATTATTGCAAGCATTTTTACACTTCACGAATCATGCATACCGACCTTGACATTTCCTCCAAATAGTATGGACTTCAATTGGGAAATTTCAACTCATGTACATTTTTCCTCCAATTTTAGTAATTGCAGTAGTTGTGAACCTGTCCATTTGTTTAACAAATTAAGCTAACCAAAAGTAGCTCGACCTAACGAGGTTATCGTTAGTCATAACCCACTAATAATATTCATCAATTTCTTTCCACAAAGGAAAGTCCATAGTTTCTTTCAGGTACGTACTTACATATTGGTATCGCAGTTTGAATATAGTACTCCTAAACTATGTGAAAAAACTGATTTATTAGGATTACTGATGCAAAGTTCTACATTAGCAAAGTTCGGTGGTTCTCAGCTCAACTCCTTCATACTCAAACTACATTTTGATAACTATATATCAGTCATCATCATATATGATTTATAACTTCCAAACACATTATTACATTAGGTACCTCATTGTAGTTGAAGATTTGTGGGATATTACAGAACGGGAAATTATCAAGTGTGCTCTGATTGAAAATAGCAAAGGCAGCGCAATCCTGATGACAAGCCACAGAGTTTCTGTCGCTCGATTCCCTGGTGTTAAGATTTACCATGTGGGGCCTCTTTCAGAAAATTCCTCTAGAGAACTATTTGGTTCAGGAGACAAATATCCTCCTGATTTGGTAACCATGCCTGAAAAGATTGTAAAAAGATCCAGTGTTATACCATCAGCTATCAGCAATGCAGCTAACTTGCCAGCAGCTGAAGCAAAGGAAAGCCGGCGTACAATGCTTGACTCTAGTAATTCAGAGGATTCGTATAATGCCGGAATGACTTCGCAGCAGCTAGGAGAGGACAACCTCAGTGAGCTCATGAGGAGAAATTTAACTGATGCAGCTCTATCTTGCCGTGTGGAAGTCATGGAGCACGAGTCAACAGTCTCATTGTCAGCAGAAGATAACTCGGTTACCATATTAAATAAGCAGGAAGAACAACCTTTGCCAGAAACAGTTGGCCGGCTAACCAACCAGGGGCACAATGCAGACCTTCCACAGGAGCAACTATTTGGTGCAGGAGATAACTCTCCTCCTGATTTGGTTGGCATACCCGAAAAAAATTCTGAAGAATGTAGTAGTACACCATGAGCTATCAACAATGCAGCCAACTTGCTAGTAGGCGAGGCAGAGGAAGACCAGCATACAATGCCTGAGTCCAGCAATTCAGAAGATCCGAACGCTATGGGAGGCAAAAATCTCCCTTACACTGTTCTACATGAGCATCTCAAATCTTGCTTGTTGTATTTAAGCATGTTCCGGAATGGTTATGAGATCAGTGTAGACCGCTTGATATCAGGCTGGATTGCTGAGGGTTACATTCCTGAACATGCTGCTGGTGAGGAGTGCCTCAGTGAGCTCATAGAGAGAAATTTAATTGAAGCAGTGAAGATCGATTCAGATGGCAAGGCTCTATGTTGTTTGAACGACAAAGGGCGCGAGTTGATCGCCTCATTTTCAGCAGAAGAAAACTCGGTTACCATATTAAAAAAGCGGCAAGGCAAGAGCAAGTATCCATTGTGAGGTCTCTTATTGTCTCCAATGATGCCAATTCGTTGAATGATGAAAGCAGTGGTGCTCTCTGCTCTAAAACAATTAGTGGTGCTAATTTGAGGCCATTCCTCTCAAGGTTTGAGAATTTACGTGTTTTGGAGTTGGGGGGCTGTGGTTCTTTGCAAAATGATCATCTTGATGGTATCAAGAATTTGCTTCTTTTGAAATATCTGGTAATAGGAGGTGGTATCACTGGCATCCCAAAAAATATTGACTCTCTGGTATTTTTGCAAACACTGGATTTAAGGGCAACTAGGGTGGAAGAATTGCCTGGGACTATTGTTCGGGCTAGGCAATTGAAATGTCTGCGTGTTAATGGACGCACCAAGATGCCACGTGGGATTGGGAAAATGGTAGCTTTGCAAGAGCTGGGGGACATGAATATCAGTAACGCAGAGTTGCTGAAAGAGCTAAGCGACCTGACCAACTTGACGATTCTTAGAATTGTGATATGGTCATGGGATGATGGTTATAAGGACGCACTGCTCGATTATCTAGGCTCACTAAACAAGAAAAATCTGAAGAGCCTATCTATTTTTACTTGCTGTTCCCTACATATCTTTGGCGGGTTGAAGGCTGGAGATGCCTCTAAAAGCCTCCAAAAGCTTGAGATAAGGCGCAGCGCATTCCTTTCATTGCCAGTATGGATTTCCTCACTTGACAGCCTCTCCTATTTATCCGTCGAGGTCTACAAGCTATCACAGGAGATCATTAATATCCTTGGGGAAATGAAGAATCTTCTTGCCCTCTCCCTGAAGTCAAAGCAAGCCCCAGTGGGCACCTTCACCAACGCTGGGTTCGGAAGTCTAACAAGCTTCAGCTTTGTGACCAGTGCTGTAGGGAAGATATTTGAACCAGGGGCTATGGAAAAAGTTGAAAGGCTTCATCTTTCGTTTCAAGCATCACGTGCCGAAAATGGTTTCGATTTTGGATTGCAGTACCTGTCTTCCCTGAAATACGCACGTGTTGAAATACTATGTTTCAATGCCAATCTTGAGATGGTGGAGAAAGCAAGGAAAGCTATTGAGAAAGCAATAGACGATGGTCGCAGGCCAGGGTCAAAAGACCCAAAACTTGATTTTGTGTTACTCGATAAGGTAACTTTACTTTTTTGATACTTGTTCATGAATAATGATGACATCCCCAATTCACAGCGACTTTTATTTGTCAAATACGATACATTCTTTTTTTTTTCATCTTCATGTTTAGTTTGGTAGCCACTAATATTGCCTGCTGTTGGGACACATTGAACAGATAGAAACTGAAACTCAAGCAGAGCAAGACACTAACCAGAAAAAATCAGCATAGTTCTCCAAGCACATCGACCTCAGCAAGCAAGAAAAAAGTTGTGAGTGGTCTTCTTCATTTAGTATTTGCAAAGCTACACGGGAAATGTTGTATGAAACATTTTATCATTACTTTGAAAGGAAAAAAAAATCATGCACTTTAATTTGTAGCCATCTTGTGTGCACTAGTATTACTCAACAACTGAAGAGAATACGCAGTATAGTTCCCTCACTTGTCGCGACTTCACTCACTGTATTCTCAACCATCGCCTTGGCGGTAATTTTCTGTATTTCAGCCAAGCAGACCTGCACAGTTTTGTGACCGGTGTGGTGCCGAATTTTCAAGCGCCGAATACCAGTTCTGCCCAGGATGTGGCACCAGGAGGCTTACTGTGCAGAAGAAATGAAGCCCTCGACGAACAGAGTAAAACAAGGAAGAAAAGATGGCCGTGGAGAAAGGACTAAGCATGTTTTTAGCTGTTAGATTGCCTGCTACAAAGGCTTGCATCTTCTCTTTTTAGATTAGATTAGATTAGAAAGGCTTGTATTGTAAACATCTGTTGTACTCTCCCTAGGTCACTCGGTTTTGTTTTACTGAATTCATTCAAGCTTGATTAATACAGAGACAATCTATGGATTGATTTGGACAAGCTAACCGCGTTATAAAAAACTGTCTCCGTACGAACTTAGTATTATCTAATTCTTAAGTTTTTTTTTACATTTTTTTTGTGTGCGCACAATTTCAACATTAGATTGACGATCATCAGTGTTTACTGAGGTTTAACTTATTATCGAGCAAGTGAGAATAAGAAAATATGTTACAATGGCAAGTTCGTCTCTGAAACTCTTATCGCATCTATAAAGAATTTGTCTGATGAAACGCCATGAGGAATGGATTGTTTAGTTGAAACTCCTCAACCAGGACGCCTGCCGGGTATGAGGCTGCCGTAGCCACTTGCCACCAATTCATTTTCAGTGTTGTATTGCTGCACCACCTTGTCTGGTCTCTCTGCCATCGACTCCCTCTGTAAATAAATATAAGATCACTATATCTTATATTTCTTCATAGAGGGAGTATTTTCCAGTCGATTGCATATACTTAATCCTGCAAACCACATTGCGCCATTCACAAAAGGAGTCACGCATCAGAATGCGTTAAAAGTACAGCGTCGGGACGTGTCGCGAGAAACGAGGAGACGTGTCGGGCAACTTCGGAATTCCATAGTTGAAGGATTACATCGCTTTACGCAAGATCGAGCAAGCTCCGGAGAACCAGGGCTCGAACCCTGGTTGCGGAAAGATTGATGGCGTGAACATTACGAGGGAAATGAGCCTGCTTTTCCACTAGTTGTTCCCGGGTTTTTTTGTTTCTTCTTTGCTTTTTCATGGGTTTTTTTTTCAGTTCCTTTCTATGTTCTTACTAGTTTTTTTTATTTTCCCTTTTTTCATCGGTTTTCATTTTTTTTCTATTATTTAGTTTGTTTATTTCCCTTTTTTATTCGTTTTCTTTGTTTTTTATTGGTTTTCACCGTTTCCATTCTTTTTTCATTGGTTTCTTTAGTTTTTTTTTCATTTTTCTTTGTTTTAATTTCATTTATTTTTAACTGTGTTTTCTTCCATATTTCTGTCTTCATTTTTCTTTGGATTTTTTTGTTTCTTTCCTCGTTCAATCAGTTTTTTTGTTTTCCCTCAGGTTTTCACTGTTTTCAGGTACACATTCTAGATATATATATCTAATACATTTTTCTAATAAATGTATATAAGTTTTCAAATATAAGTTTAACATTGCTTGAATACATGGTCAACATGTCTTCTAGACACATTGTTTTTTACTATTTTTCAAATCCTTCATTAATGTTGTTTAAATAAAAAATAATATTTTTTCTATACGTAGTCATCAGTTTGTACATACATTTTTCAAAAAAAATCGTAAATGCTTGATTAACATTTTCTAAATAAAATATTGTATTTTTTAATATATGGTCAACATTTTTCTAAATTAACATTTTCCAATTGCTTGATTAACATGTGAAAAATACGTGTCCAACATTTTTTTCAAATGCTCGATTAACATTTTTATATAAATTATCATATTTTCATCATTTTTTAATACATGGTCAACATTTTCTCTATACACGTTTACCATTTATGAAATACTTGTTTACCATTTTTTTAAATGCTTGATTAAGATTTTTATATAAATGATCAAAAAATTCCAACCTTTTCTAATACATGGTCAAAAAATATATTCTATATACATTTAAAATTTTCCAAGTGCTTGATTAACATTTTTAGAATTGCCTTCATTAATAATTTTAAAATACATGATCAAAGTTTTTCATACACATTGAATTTCTATACATTTTTCTTATACATGATAATCATTTTCTCTATGTGCATTTAAACACTTTTGTGATGCCTGATCAACATTTTTTTTAAATGTACTGTGTTTTTGTAATATTTATATTCAGAATATTTTAAAGTACAAACAAAAATTATGAAAGAAAAATCGAAAAAAGAATACGTAAATAAAACCAAAAAAAATGATCCTGCGCATCTGTGCCGGCTCATCTCCTGCGCATCTGTGCCGACCCCTTATACGAGAGAGTTCCTTAGGACTCACACAGTAGGCAGGGATCTGGGCCGGCCAATTGAGAAGCTTCTGCTGTTCCGGATTTTGAAACAATATTCGTTTTTTCTGCTTATTGGCTCTGCCTGTTTTTTCCAGTTTTCAATTTTTCCTGTTACTTTTCTTTACTGATCTTCCGTTTCCTATTTCCATTTTCTTCTGTTTTTTTATTTTTCAATTTATGTTTCTTTTCTTAAATCACAGAATTCAAAAAATGGTCAATATGTTAAAAAATGTTCATAAAGTAAAAAATTTCCAAATAAAAAGAAACAATTGTTTGGATTTTGAAATTTTGTTCATTTTTCCAAAAAAAACAATTGTTCATGTTTTCCAAACAATTTTTGAGACTTATAACTTTGTTTGTATTTCATGAAAATGTTTCTCTGTTTTCAAAAACAATGTTCAAGTTTGCCAAATTGTTTGGAGTTTTAGAAAATATTCTTGTTTTTAAATATAGATCAATGATCCAATTTCTTTTGCTTTTCTCCTGATGTCGTTGGGAGTCTCAAATATTTTTCATGTTTGATTTTTTTGGCATTTCAAATAAAAAACTGTTTTTCAATAAATTTTGAAATTCCAAAAAAATTGGAATTATAAAAATATTCTCATTTTCAACAAATGTTTGGAATTTCAAATTTTTTTTATGTTTTCGAAAACTGGCATTACAAAATTGTTAATAATTTTCAGGAAATGTTTTGAAATTTTTAAAAAATGTTCAAATCTCGACGCTGCAGTGTGTTCTTAAGATTTACGCTTCCCATTATCTCCAGTAGCGAGCAGTTCTAGTGGCCAACGGCATGCATTAGTAGTGGGAGGTCTCAACCTCGGTACCTTGCAAGCTCTCTTATTTTTTGGGATTTTTACGCCATGTGTTATAAAAGAAATACCTCACCATGTGCCCATGGCTTGCCTCACTACATAAATGGTTGATTTATTCAGGTTAACCGTATACTAAGGTTAGATGGAACAAGAAGCGGCGAGTGGCCGGCCAAGTCGCATGGACCATTTGGGCCGCCCTCCTTATATAACACAACATGCGTCATACAAGAGGTTCC